TTCAGATTATTTCTGTTCAGTGGCCTGGCTCTACTGTCTGGCAGTTATGTTTGCCAAACACAGAGTATTGCTGTTAAAAGTCATATTGCACAATACACCTAAAAACCCAAGCAGGTAGGGACAGGAATGTAGCAGTGGTGTGACAGATGGCAAAGCCATCATAACCATTATTTGTCCAAGCACTGTGCAGAACTGAAGGAATCTCTGCAGTGTTTGGGACTTCCTTTCATCAAAGGAAATGAAAATCTATCCCACCCACTTGTATTTTTTGGGTGGAACTGACATCTAACCATGGTAAAAGCAGAGATAATGGTTCTTTCCACTGGACCCTCTGTAATTTTTATTAGCTCTTATCTTCTTCTAAGTCTCCTGAATGCCCAGCAATTCCTATTAACATAATACAGTAAAAAAAAGTGCTAGCTTATTAACAGGAATAATAACTGGATAAGACTTAAGTATTAGAAAGAACACTGTGTTATGTCATACCATACATTTTAATTTCTTAGAGACAAAGTTTGCATTCCTCAGTGGTCTCCTTTTTTTATTCCAGACCTGTATTTACATTCACTGAAGAAGTTTAGTATTAGGCACAGCAGGTCTTTCAGAATTAGGGACTTCCAGCTGTAATTATCAATACAATTACAGAAGGAAAAAGAACAAAACTTTTCTTATGCCTCACTTAGGATACACGGGTTTGATTTAACCATAAACTAAAATAAACCTCAAACATGTTTTTCAAATTTAATTCATAATGAATAATGGTTAAACTAGCACTATGTCACAGGACAACATACAGTTTTCTGCTGCTGATGTGTAAGAAATTTTGGCATAAAACTGAACTTGTAAGTGCAACCTCAAAGTTTAAATATTTTGAGGGCCAAATTCTCTTCTCTGATATGTTATTCTAAATTTGAAGTAGATATGCTCAGGAGGCTAATTTGAACATACTCGTAAACTCAGAGCAATATTTATCTTCATTCCTTCATGCTTGAAAAATGGCTACTCAAAATGTTTTAAAATGTTTTGTTGGTCTCCCAGGATAAAAGGGAAATTTCAGCCCACTCATGCTTGTAAGTTCCTTTCTCCACTGTGGTGGGCAATATGTAAGGAAAGAATAGTCAAAGCATCTTTTTTTTATTTCTCAAGATTCTTTAAATCTAATTACATGGAAGCTATTCTGGTTTTGAGGAAAGTCTTTGGATAAATGTAACAAAAAAAATTGAAGAAGAATGACAAACTATTCTATTTCCCCTGACGTGATATCCAAAAATAACCTGAAGCTGAATCTTCTCTTTGTGAAAATACAGGTTTTCTTCATAAAAAAAGCTGACCACAGTTAAGCATCAGAAGCCGGCAATAGTAATAAAAAAGATTATCCATTGAAGAGCTTTCATCACTAAGATTAAAAAACTTTAAGACACTTAGTGAAAAATATAAAATCACACCCAAGCATAAAAACTTCATGGAAATCAGGCAAGTAAAGGATGTTATGACATAAATTTTAATCCCACTGGATATAATAACTCTGAGGAATTACTTTTATTTTTAGTGACATCCTACCATCCTACCAGGAATCCTAGAAAAAATGAAGATTGCTTTTTGGTTAGTTGGAATTTCTTCTAAAGTTACTGTTCAGAGTAAGTGCTCATTCTCATTAATCAAGTCACCAAGAAAAACAGGGACAGATCTGTGTGAGATAAGACTTTTGAACATACAGGGATAAAAGAGATAAGAAGTTAAGACAGCCAAAGTGTTTGTGAAACCGGTATTTCTGTTGCATATGTAAGCATCCTGGGTCATACAAGAGCCATGATACAAATTACTCTAATGGTTAAGAAGCACATGACATGGAATATAACTCTGGTTATTAAGGGGCAAGAAAGACCTAAACAGTCCTTTGCAGGCAGGTCACAGCATCACACTGTCCCAAACAGCTGAGCAGGTTTGAGTGTCCACTCTATTTCAAGCATGCCCCTTTGCTCTGTGACAAAATCACAGGAATCAGACACAAGTCATATTCCCATGGCATAGCTCTGGCCCAGGAGCTGTCCATGAAGCACCTGCGAGCCACATCCACACCGGGTAGCACAGAACAGAACCTCTCTTGCTTTCATATCCCCTTTATGCATCTGAACTGAGTGGTGCATGCACGATGTCTGACAGGTACATGTTTCACTCTTCTTTTTCCTGCCTCATCAAAGATGCCCTGCAGGTGCTTGTGCTTTTCAACTGCAGCCTGAGCTAAATGAGCAGGACCCCATCAATATAAAGAGGAGGTCCCATCGTCTCTCAGACCTCACCCCTGGACATGTGCTGTAGCCACTTGCCCCATGCTGCCCCTAGAATTCACCCAGTGGTACTCCAGGTCAGCTTTTTCACTCTACAAATAGTTAACCAAGCTCCTGAATGAAATAAAAGAAAGGTGAGTCTGGAGGTGCAACTCGGTGAGTGGCTAGAGTAAAGCTGGAGAGAGTCCTGAGAGTGAGGGAGTGAGAGAACAGGAGGGAAGCATATTTCAGTCCTCCTGCTATTCAACTCATTGATAATACAGAGTAGCATCCTAAGAAAAGAAAAAAAGGCAAAGAGAAAAAACACAGAAATTGTCTTGCATTCTCTGTTCTGTATACAGCACTATTCCGGGTGGTTTTTGTTTCAAACAAAAGAAGTACATAGGTGCTCAATCATCTTTTAAATCAGACACTTGGGCTTGATTTTCAGCAGCTACAGACAATCAAAATACATAACTCCAGTTTCAAACACTTGGCTGAGTACTCAACTGAATGCAACAAGCTGTTCTGTTCAGCTGATGATCAGGTACTACCAGCTGGAGTAAAAAACTGCCATTAATGTGGTGGTGAGAGGAGTTATAAAGAAGAGTTAATTACTTGTAAGAAAAACCTTGTCACAGTCCTCTATCCTAGAAAAGAAGTACACACCATCATGACAAGTACTAACTTGTATCCTTGGTATTGGTAACAAAAAATGAGATGAATATAAAAATGTAACTATTATTTACACTTTAGATCTGCTCTTTCTTTGCTGGAGAGACAGCTACCTTTGTGTCTGCCCCTAAGACACTGTACCTATGCCAGGGATGACTGGAGAATTTCTCTAAGGACGTTCAGTTGTTCGTTTTGTGTGCAACATAGTTACTAAAAGTAATAACTAACGGAAAACACAATCTTGCTGTGTGTAATACTGATGGGTTTAAAAAAATTCCCTTTCAAAGTTATATAAATATTATGAAGTATGTATACTGTCTATACTTAAATAGAATTATTTAGTTAAGAGCAAACATCTCCAATGGGAGAGACTGTTGTCCAAACAAGAATTTTTTTCCTCAAACCACCTGATAATAGTAATTCTTGCAATAATTATTTCATAGTATAAACCTAATTCTCAGGTTTATACTACTCTATCTTTCATTCTCTTGAAAAGAAGAATGCAAGACTTCATGTACTCTGCCTTGAAAAAGCATTTTACTTCTTTTCTTGAGCTGTGGTCTTGTCCACAGCACATAAATAATTCAAGCCACAGCAAATAAACAGTTATGATCAGTTATATTGATAACCTGCAACATGTTCTCCAGTCACCACACAAATCTGTGGCAATCTGGTTTGGGCTGGTTTTCCATAGCTACCAGAGACTTTAGAGTCTGAAAAAGCAATATCTGGAAGCTCACTAGGGCAATACAACCCCTTATGGATGTGCATTTCAATACCTGGAGCAGATCAGGCTGAGAAGTTTCCATGGCCAGAGCATTCTTTATTTTTTGATGGATAAATTTTATCCCAGTTTCCTTAGAATGTGCAGCAATCTCCCTGCACAAGTGCCACCCTACCAATCTGTTAGTCACCTATTAACTTCTCAATTTGTCAGCCAACTTCAAGTTTTTTCGAAAGTGGAGCTTGATTTCATTTAAATCAGGCTACTGAACGGAAAAGAGTAAGTCTACCAGTGAGACTTGGGGAGGGCTGCATCTCAGCTTCACCCATTACCAGCCATCAGCCACAAGGGCGCTCTCCAGGGACACAAATTCCTAAGAAACCAAACTTCCTTGGGTTTCCTCAGTTTGGTTTCTCTCCAGCAAGTTCTGTGGCAGGCAACAAGAGAAAAATATTAGTGGGCCACAGCCAGGGATAATCACTAGATTCTCCCTTTTTTGCGGCACTGCACCATCCTAACCCACACAAACCTCTCAGGCAGCTCTACTCCAGGAGGACATGCTTTTGCAGGGCCCTGCATCAAGCCTAGCAGTGTCAGTCTCCTGGCCAAGGGCAGTGTGACTATCACCAGGCAGCTGTGCTTGGTCCTGAACTGTCCCTGCCGTCACTGCCAGGCCTGGCCCGTGCCAGCGCTGCAGTGCTCCCTGCCCCAGTCTGAGCATCCTCGAAAGGTGAAATAAGCCCCATGCCCATCTCGGTCTGGATCTTCTGCACCTGCCCTGCAAAACTAGAGAAATGCATCACATGGGAGGCAGCAAAGTTGGACAGGAAGTTTAAAGGAGTACATCCAGAGATCTGTTGCCCAGATTGGTCATTTATCCTCTTTGTTCAGATTAGAGCATCAGTCCTAAGACTAGGGAGAAATGGGGCTCCCCAGTTCTGCGCTGCAGTATAGGGAAGCTGGAAGTCTTGCTCTGAGGAGCTTGCTCTGAGGAGCTTGCTCTGAAATCAGTGGTGGTCGCAGCTGACCTGGCCGAAGGTCCCGAAGCCTCAGTGACCCTCTCCTCCCTTCCGTCTCGGATAACCCCGCAGCTCCAGCCGGGGAGCGGGGCTGCCCTCAGCGGGGCTTGAACTCATCGAAGGCAGAGCCTCCGCCGTGGCAGCCCCGGGGCGATGGGAGAGCATCCCCGAGATTTCCGCTCGCCCGCTCCCTCCCGCAGCGGGATGCGCCGGCAAAGGAGCCGTCGGGCTTGGCCGCTGGAGGAAGCGGCCGGGACGGGATCCGGAGGGGGCTGCACCGCCGGGTCCCTGCGCGGGGCAGCGCGGGTCTCTTACCTCCGTGCCGGGCGGCGGCGACGAGCCGCGGCGGCGGCGGGGCGGCGGCGGCGGCGGCGCGGGGGTCTGGCGGCGGGGCACCGCCGGCGCTGTACCGCCGGGAGATCACCCGGTCCCTCCGCGGCGGCCGAGGCGGCAGCGGGCGGCCGTCGTCTCCCAGGGCTTGGAGGAGGATGTCGAGGAGCGCCCCCCGCTCGGCTCCGGCGGCGGGCACGTCCCTGCCCTCGGCGCCCGGCGGCGGCGGGGCCGAGGCCAGCAGCAGGAGCACGATGGCGGGCAGCGCCTGCCGCTTCTTCGCTCCTCGCATCTCTGCGGCGCTGGGAGGAGGCAGAGAGCGAAGGCGGTCAGCGCCGGGCTCGGCCCGCACCCCACCCGCCCGCCCCCCATGCCGCGCCCGGGGCACCCCCGCCCGCCGCTCCCGCACGCCGGGGCGGGCGCGGCCCGCGGAGCGCCGGCGGAGGGGCGCGGAGCGGGGACCCGACGGGCCCCGTGCGGTGCCGCCGCGCTCGCCCGGCTCCACGGAGGCTGCGTTTAATAGACACGGATTAGGGGAAGGTTTTTAACCGCGCCGCACATGTTCGCGGTACAGGGTTTTGCAGGGGATTTGCTCGGCTCCCTTTGCCCCTGGAGTCCCCGCGCCCGCGGGTGCTCCGGGTTCTGCCGGCGGAGCGGGGCGGCGCGGGAGCCCCCGCGATGGGCCAGCCTCGTCCGGCCCGGGCGGTGCCACACCGGGGGTTCGGGGAGCGAGCACGGACGGCAGTCGGATGGAGTTCAGTGAGGGGCTGGTTACATTGGAGGTGCCGCAAATCGGGGTAGAAAGGGCGAAAACAATTACCACAGTCTGGGGCTTCCAGAGCAGCCCGTAATGCCCTAAGTAAGCTATTCTAATTATAGACAACGGGTAGGATTAAGAGGGAGGGAGGGAAATTCTGTTATTTACAAACTGTTTCCTAGCTGGCCTGCCTTGCAAATCTTCTTGGGCGAAGGAGTTAATCGGAGCCTCAAGGGAGCCGGCTTTCCCCGACGGCTCCGGGCTCTCCCTCCCTCCCTGCCGTGCCGGGGCGCACCCGGGGAGGAACCGGGGAGCGACCCGCGGTTCGCTGCCGGGGCAGCGCCACCTCGTTCTGCGCCAAGATCCCCTCCGGAGAGCCGGCTGGCGGCCGCTTACCTTCAGGCAGAGGCGAGTCCGGCTGGGTGCGTGCGGGCTGGGGAGCGAGGTCCTGTGCCGCCGTGGCAGAGCCCGTGTCCCCGCGGAGGCTCCGCCGGGCGCGGAGTGGGGCGCTCGGTGCTGCGCCCGGAGATGGGGGATGCGCCCTTCAGGGCCATGCGCTTCTCTTATATAGTCCACACCGGCGTACTCATTTGAGTACTATCGACTTTAGGTGGGTGGCAGTCGATGGAGACACCTTTGGTAATCACTCTTGGGCTCAGAGAGGGTCTTTTCTGACAAACTTCCTCCTCCCCGTTTGTCCCCCGGTGGATGGCAACTGAAAGCTGCGTTTGAAGTGACTCTGATCTATTTGTGAAATTAGATTTCCCTGAAGATTGGGGAACGCTTACTAATAAAGCTGCCGGCTCAAGAGATTAAAATGTGCTTTAACTTAGCGGGATTCCCTTGGGAGTACAACAAGGAAACTATTTAATTCCCCTCTTTTTTATTGAACTAAGAAGCCATGAGTAAAGTCTGAAGTGTGTATAAATTTGGTTCTGTTTTGATGTCAAGGAAAGTGGTAGTCTGTCTTTGGCAGGTGAATTCACAAACTATGAACCTCGTAAAAGTTTGCTTCTTCAAAACAGTTTTTTTAATTTTTGATAATGACAGTTAATGAAAAACTCACAAAAAAAGGTAGTGACCTAATGAAACCGTTAAACCCGCAGCTTAAAAACCTTGCCTCCTAAAGCTCTAAATACATCAGCCAAAAACTAGCAATTAAAATCTCAACTTTCAGAGAGCAATTGTTTGCAGGTTGTCTTGACAAAATGAAAAGCAATAAACATTTTTCAAATCATACCAGACAATATTTTCTGTTGGTATTTTTGTTGCAAATATAACTCTTTGTCATAAGTTGCCACTTAGATATTTACTTAATAAGAGTGGGACAAAAAAGAAAAAAAGATTTGAGATGTCCTATAAGATGTGAAAATGGGGAGTTTAGATTTGAAGGAGATTTAAACTATTCTGAATCTGTCTGGCGCACAACATTTCCCTACAAACTTTGTCTATTTTCCCAAACTCCTTCATTCATACCCTTCTCTGGGTGTCTCAGGCAGCACACACTTTTGGCTGTATCTCACAGGGACTATCATTGCTGGTGATGGGAACCAGCTTCTTCCCTACATCATCCTCTGCTTGGGCCGTCCTCACTCACCTTTGGGGGTGTGATCCCACAAAGATCAGAGATCAAACCATATATTTAACTAATAAAGGCTTACAAAGGGTTTTATCACACTGATTTTTTTTTTTAGAGGTCGGTGTACTGCACAAGATACACTGATCTGACCTGTGGATTCTCAGGATAACTGAAGCAAGGTGCCATTCTTTCTTGCTAGGTTATTTCCTGCTTTTGCATCTTTATTGCATATAAGGAGTTTACTTTTGTCAGTCGGAGGGTTAAGTTCAGTGAAGACAGAAAGGAGAGCACTAATCCACTGAGAAATAAAGCATCATATTAATTAACCAGCTGCAAAATAACTACAATTTTTTCTCTCCATTTGCTCATTTGTTTGTATTATTTTTTTCTTCTTTTCTTTTGCCCTCAGAGACATCACAGAATGGAACTGAATTTTTCTATGGAACCTACCAAGTATTGGCTTGACTGGAGCTCCTCTGCCCCAACTTCATTACTAGAAGATTTACATCTAGCCCTAGAAGCAGGTCACAATGGAAGTAAATCCATGCAGCACTGTTAAGACAGAATAATTTTGCTGCTCATAAAAACCCCGAAGTCTTTATTGGATGTCTGTTTGAAGCAGATGGCAGAATGCTCATAAAGATTAAAAGCAGTATTGCAAAAGGCAAGCAAATAGTCCCTCTTTTCTCACCCACATCCCCAGAAAAGATCTAGGGAGTCTGCAGACTAGCATGGCTGGCTATGTAATCTTGATGGACAACATCCTGGGGCTGCCAGCTTGGAAATTTCTAACCTTTTCAGCAAAGATTCTCAAATATGTCACCCCCACGCAGCGGGTTCCTAAGATAAAAAGGCTGCTACAAGTACTAAGGACATTAAATTTTGTTCTTTAATGTAAATGTTGATTATTTAGAGTTTTGAAGCTTTGTATTGGAACCCAGCTAGGCCCTTTACCGTTATGAGCCACCCAATTTTACCCTTTTCCTTTAGGTCTGCTGTAACTTGTTTCTCTCCTTTGGAAGAGCTGTATCCTTTCCTTGGATGGACATTATACCCACCCAGAGTGCAATGAACTGTATTACAATTAGTTTTAAGTTAGACAAAATAAACAGGTAGGTTACTTAATTTATTCTCCTTTTTTATGTTATCTTTTGCTATTTTCAAAAGAATAATCAAGAAAACAAGAAAATGTGCATCCCTGCTGAGCAGCTTGAGAGGCAGATCTATCAGCCCTTTAAGTTACTGCAAAGATTTTCATTCACTTCTGTAGGAGTTGGGACAAGCCTTAAAATGAAAAGAACCAATTAGAACCATGGCACATCTTAATCACAAGTTTTAAGTAGCTTTTTTAGATTCTTTCTATGTTCAAGAACCTTAAAGTCTTGTGTAAAAACAAAACAAAAATATTTCTTTTCTATTATTGTGCAAAGCCTTGTCTCCTTTTAAGTTGTTTTGATATTTGAATTCATCAGAGAGCAGTTGAAAGAAGGAAGACCAGACTGCATCCAGAGGATGATGTTTTACTAATCCTAGGCAATTCTGGCAGGATGAAACCCCATTCTCATTGTCTCTTTTGTTAGTAGCTCTAGCGTTTCTCTTCATCATTATATGGAGAAAGAATCTCAGCATGAGATTTACATCAAAGAGACCATCTTAATGCTTCACTCAGTATCTTATTTAGAACAGAAAACCTGTTAGTAGTGAGCCTAAATAAGTCTGGCTATTTGCTTTCTGTAGCTAACAGACTTAAACAGGTACAACACATTATTTTTCCCACTACATGTTCTTTTTATTTTCTGCTGTGCCTTAGCCACAAGTATGTCTGTTTGAAGTTAAAAGCAAACTAGTTATGTTGAATATCATAGGGCTGCCAGAGACTCAGAGAGATGATCTAGTGCTTTCCCTCACTGAAGGCAGAGACAACTGTATCTATGTCATCAGGGCTCAGCAAAAAACTTTTAATTTCTCCCATTAAGCTCAACACTTCATCACAAATCCATTAAATGATAAATTGGTAAATGTGGGTTTAGAAGTGACATTTTACCTAGGGATTTACACTGAAATATAAAAATTATCTAAATGTATTCCCAAAGCACACACTCAAATAAAAGACAGGCTAAAGTGATTTAAAATTTAGGCGTCTTGCTGTCTCTACGTAAATCTGTCAGCCAAAGATTTCCATGGCCACTCATCTAAATCAAGAAGAAAAACAGAGAAAACCTATTTCTGTTGAAGTTCATGGGAATTTTCCTGTTGACTTTGTTGAGCAGGGATTTAATGCAGAGTTGTTACTAAAGGAGAAGTGAAGAAGTGAGAAATCACCTCAAAAATATGAATGTATTAACCAAGGCAGTAAACTGTAGATGGCTGTTGTAATTTCTGATAAGTAACAGACGATAACAGCTGTTTTCAGATCACAGCATTTCCTTAAAGTCAGAGTTTTTACACAGCCATATACATATGTGCCTGTTGAGGCTCAGTGCAGAGGACTTGGTCAAATGGCCTTTTGAATACTTTTTGCAGTCCTTTGTTTCTATGAAACTATAGGGTTTTCTGTGAGTGGCTTTTAAGGCACAGGTCATGCTAATGAACTGTCTGATGGGAAGACCATACAGCTAAAGAAGCAAAACAGTGTCACTAAAAGAAATGTGAGAATCAGTGTGCTGTATTTATATCTTCAATGAAAACTTAGTACATCTCATAACTTGATATTATTTTTGAACATTTTTGGTAGAAGTAGCACAGCAGAGAATTGTGACATGTTCTTAATTGAATTTTAGATAGTGTCTTCCAGTGGTTATTCTGTACAATAAAGATTTAAGATTTTTTTTTTATGATGATCATATAAAGATTATCATCTTTCTCATTAAAGAATAAGTTTTATTATTGCAAACATATTTAAAGCATTTTTAGCTACAAAGCTGAAATTATATTTACTGACCTTATTGTTAAGAAATTCTAAAATGAAGTCACCTTTAAGGTTTTGAGGGTATTTTGCACCTTCAATTCCAATATAATGAATCAATTTTTTCAGGCCCTTTGTCTTCCTTGTGCTCTGGAAGGCCAAGCTGGAAACGAAGTTTCTGACATAGAGACTTCAAATAATAACCTGAAAACTAACCTACAAGTTATTTAGCAAGAAGCAAAGAGGATCTAAGAAGAACACTTAGGAGACAAGTTTTCTAGGACTATGAAATAAGTTCTATATTACTTTATTTTTCCTGAAACAGTTTCAGTAGTGAAGGTTTTGTTACTGCACTAACTGACTGTCTGCAGCTGGAACTGTTCAGCTGAAGGTGGCACATGGGATAAACTACAAAATCTGAGCCTATAGATGTTATTTCACAAGATTCTGATGCAAATAGTTTTTCTCTTATCCTAACTTATATTGAGAACTTAATAGCAAGAAATGAACATGACTTGCCTTTTAAATTGTTCCCTGGACAAAATCTTCTACAAGATTTTCAAAGAAGAAAAATTAAAATATTTTAAAACTTGGAAAGATTTTTCCAGGACCTGAGAGCTGTGTGCTGAGGACAGCTGGTCTCAAGGGCTGAGAAATAATATGTCTGGTTAAAGGGCCCTTTGAGTTGCTTGCAGTTCTTCACAAATGCTGGAACATGGAAAGTATGAAGGCAATTACTTGTTATTACCATTACTCTGAAGATTGACAGTTTAGCTTATTTTTAGAAAATATCCAATAGTGGCTTGGTTTGTTTTCACCTTTTGGTTTTGGCTATAACTACATTTAATAAGGACAAACAGATGCTCCACTACAAGAATCCTGCTGCAGGCACCTGCTGTTATCTGACCTCAGAACACCAAAAATAGATACCAAATTGTCCCACTGGTTTAAGTCTTTTTCTTTTGAATCCAGATCCTCAGCTCTGTCAGATGCACTGCAAAAGACAAAAGTTCTTTTTCTGAGGTAATGACAGCTTATTACACCTGTCATTATAGCAGCTAAAAGCATTTATTTGGAGATGCAGCAGGTTTAAATTAAATCTCTTGCCTGACAGAGAAAACATCTTCACCATTATGCCCCTTGTGACAGCAAATTCATGACAACAACTTCCTGACAGCACCAAAAAGCTGACTGGTGACCAGAAAAACTGTGCAGGTGACATGGCTTCTTTGAAGGGATCCATCTGACCAACATGAGGACCGCTATCCAAACTTTTCATGTCAACAACACCCGAGATTGACATTTTCAGGGCTTGGCAACAAAGGCAGTGTCAAGAATTTACATTCAAATAATGGAGTCACTGATTCAGAAAAAAGATGTGTAATTTCATCTTGCAGTGAGAGCCTTCATCACGGGAACCTGAACCTATGGTTTTTTGGGTGTGGAAAAATTCAAGGGCAACCTTCAACATAGACAATCACTCCAGGTGTGCTGCAGCAGAGTGGTCTGAGTTTAGAGCTCACTGACTTCCACTGCTGAAGTAATCAATTTTTTAAAAAGAATAAGAAAATTTGGATGTAAGTGTTGTGTCAATGATGAAAGAGAAGGCTTGAAAAGTTTTAGAAAAAATGAACTGTAGGAATCACCCCAAATGAAAAAGTCTTCCAGCGTAGGTTCATTTTACTTCCAAAGCAGAAGTTAAGACATTTGATGCCATTCCCTACACTAAAGATATTTTCTGATTATTTATTACATTAAGGATAGATTTCCACAGTGGTCTCCTGGATTCCTTGCTGATTTTTTGCCTGATTTCTCATCAGAATGGTAAACTTTCCAGACCTGCTGCATATTGATGGTTTTAATGGAAAAGATTTCTAAGAAGCATTTGTCTTTGTGCCACTTGACAGTTTAAACAAGAACTTTTAAAGTTAACATGGTCTGAATTCAGTGGATTAACTGGTTCTCAGAGGAGCCTTACACTAAAAATGTTAGTGGGTAATGTTTATTTGAATAAAACGTACATCAGTGTTGATTTGGTAAGACATCTGCAGCAGGAATTGATTTTTAGACTGGAAAAAGATAAAGAAAATTGATCTCAGTTTTTCAGGCTAATATGGGCATTGAGACTGAAGTGACACAATCAATCAGAACACAGCCACATGCAGAGAGAGAAGCTCTCTAAGGGTGGATTCCTGCCTGAAAAAGAGTTGGCCAAGCAATGCTGCTGATGTCCAGAAAGAATCTCAAATAATACGGTTTCTTACTGGTGAGACTGCTGATCAGATTTTGTACTTTTAATCATCAATTCAGACCTCAGGAAGAATAACAAAATCTGAAGGAAAATAAGGAATATGATTTTAAGTTTGGAAAAGAAATACTTTAATTAAAAGACTCGAGTTTATTAGAAAGAACTTAGAGCCTGGTCTAAAAATACCTACTCAGAAAACAAAAATTTGATGCTAGGAATCTCTTTAATGTAGGAACATGAATTTGTAAAAGACCACCTGGGTCATTTGGTCCACATACCTGAAGCTCTAAGAGTGCAATAACGACCTACTTCAGACAGAGCATAAAACATGCCCTCCACATGCCCCTATAGACTTCAGATGACACAGTATTATTAAATAGTCTAGAGCAAATTTAAAATGCCTGTGACAGGCCAGAAGTCTATAATGTCTGAAGGCACTCCAGGAAAAATATCCAGAGCAATGCCAGAGCCTTAGGGCCTTGAAGGATTTTTAGAATAAAACAACCTGAGGAAGC